ATGCCGATATTTTTGTCATTTTACAGAATTCTATAATATTTTTTCATTTTGCAGTATGATATTTTGTGTCATTTGTAGTTTCTGATATTTTGTGTCATTTTGTAGTATTTTGATAATATTTTGTTGTTACCAATGTCTCGATGTGAAAGAGGCGTTCTACACCAAACTCACATCTGTGGTAGACAAATGCCCCCGGTGAGACATTCGCATAGTACTGGGCGACTTCAGTGTGGTATCCAGTTGTGATCGAGCTGGCTACGAGATGTTTGTCAGTCCCCATGGCTCGGGAGCGAGAATAGCCCTCTTCTTTGTGACTTTGCTAGGTCTCAGAGAATGAGGATTTCTGGCTCCTGGTATCAGCGCTCCAATCCGCATCGCCGGACTTGGTATAGTGATACGGGTGCTGTGGCCAAGGAGATCGACCACATCCATGTTAGCACTCGCTGGAGGAGTTTACAGGAGTGCCGAGTTCTGTGGCACTGATCATAGATTTGTTGTAGCAACCCTGCAGGTTCACTTAAAGCCCCCCCGCTTCTCCAGTGTGGCCACTCTAGGGTGTTTCACCTGGACCGGCTGGGGGATGAGGAGTGTGCGCGTAGGTTCACTGTAGCAATCACTGATTATTAACAGTGCTCAAAAACCTGAGACCCTAGAGCCCTATGGAAATCCATTGATGAACGTCCGGGACTAGGTAGAATTTCATCTCGCTGGAGACATCGGAGGCCACAGATGCGTGTCGCATGGCTTGTCTGACAATCAAAATTTGCGCCGTTCCTTGGTACGCAGGTCTAGGACTCTGCTCAGAAGAGATAAGGAACAGTTCATCAGGAATCTTGCCGCGGAGGTAGGACATTTCTTTGTAAATGACCTTCGTCCTGTCTACCAAACCCTGAGAAAACTGAACTCCAATCCCTCCCCACGGATGTCTGCAGTCCGCTCAGTGGATGGATGGATCATCTCAGATAATGTTGGGGTTTGTGAACATTGGGCTGAGTATTTTGAGCAAGTAGACCCCCTAGCATTTAGTCTAGATGCTAGGGATGTCGAAATTCCTGTGCCTGACCCACCCATCAGTGAGGATCCCCCCACTCTAAATGAGTTTAGGGAGGCGATCTCTAAGCTGAAGGGTGGGAAAGCTGCAGGTATATGCGATATCCCTGCTGGACTGCTAAAGGCTGGGGGTAAGCCTATGGCCCAGGGCTTGCATGCTGTCCTGGCTGCCATCTGGCAGTCCGGTTCCATTCCCCCTGACCTACTGAGGGGCGTGGGCATCCCTTTCTGGAACGGGAAAGGGGATCGCTGGGACTGTAGTATCTACCGTGGCAACACATTGCTCAGTATACCAGGCAAGGTTTTTTGCCCACATTCTTCTGAAACGGGTCCGCAACCACCTGCTAAGGCACCAAAGATTGGAGCAATCTGGATTCACTCCTGGCATGTCCACAATAGACCGTATCCTAGCGCTTCAAGTCATTGTAGAACGTCGTCGTGAGTTCGGTCATGGGTTGCTTGCAGCCTACATCGACCTCTAGAAGGCATTTGATTCGGTGCATCGCGAATCGTTGTGGGAGATCCTGAGACACAGGAATTCCAACATGTATTATTGGATTAATAGCAAATCTATATACTGGTACTGAACGTGCTGTAAAGTGTGGTAGAGGCCTGTCGAGCTTCTTCCCTGTTAACTCAGGAGTGAGGCAAGGCTGTGTCCTTGCGCCAATACTTTTCAATATTTGCATGGACTGGGTAATTGGCAGAGCTACTTCCCAAAGTCAGTGTGGAGCAACACTGGGCAATATCAAGATCACGGACCTTGACTTTGCTGACGATGTTGCAATTCTGTCTGAATTTCTGGGATCTCTGATAGCGGCTCTTGATGCATTTAGCAATGAGGCAAAACCTCTGGGCTTGCGGGTCTCCTGGACTAAGACCAAGATTCAGAATTTTGGGGGCCTGCTAGGAGAACCCGTTCAGTTGATACGTGCTTGCAGCGAGAACGTTGAAGCCACGGAGAACTTTACATACCTTGGCAGTGCAGTTCATGTTTCTGGGTTGTCAGACCAGGAAGTCAGTAGACGTATTGGTCTGGCAGCAGGAGCCGTGAACTCAGTCAACAAGAGTATTTGAAGGTGTCAGTACCTATGTAGGAGGACTAAGTTGTGACTTAAAGGCCTTCATACTGCCAGTTTTGCTTTATGGAACAAGTAACAAGTCCCTACGACGGATCATGGGGTACATTTGGCAGGACCATGTGTCCAACCGATGACTCCATCAGGACTGGCATGGGACCTGTTAACTGCACAATCCAGGACCGCCAACTCAGGCTATACGGGCACATAGCTCGTTTCCCTGTGGATAACCCTGCCCATCAGTTTGTCTATGTACGAGACAATTCTGCGTGGAGGAGGCCTATGGGAAGACCTAAGAAGTCGTGGCTTGGGCAGCTCGACCAGACCTGTCGTGAAGATGGGCCGAGGGCCTGCCTGGCGACTCGCCATGAGGGACCCCCTTGGCTGGAAGCGAAGGATGTATGCAGCTGTGCGCCCCTGTCGGCGTCGGCCCCTTTGATGATGATGATGAATGTTTAGGTGGCATTATTTCCATAAATGCCAAATTTGCACATTCGACGGTTTGTGAAAACAACGATGAATTGTTAATAGTTTTTTTTTAATGTCTGATAATATTCCTGTGCATGCCTAGGAATGTGAATGCTTGTATTATTTTCTAATTATGTGAAAATATATTGTCTCCTCTTCGATTATGTAAGTTTATTCCAACTTTTTTTAAGAAAATGAAATGTGCATTACTACTATGTCCAAAGATCCCACCACAAAATATATAGAAAAGGAAAGAAATTCCAATATCTAATATTTTTGTATTTTTTGGTCTGTAACCCCAATTCTAAAACACACACACACACATACGCAGAGACACACACATCCTCACACAAACACATTCACACACATACGTATATATTATATATATATATATATATATATATATATATATATATATATATATACATACATCCAGGAGGCCTGGCAGCGGCATGACCTGTGTAAGTGGCTACACCTATTACTGGTCGGGCCGCAGCGATGGCCACCATCTCCAGGGAGTAGCCATTGCCGTCTCCAGCAGACTCCAGCCCTCGGTAGTAGAGGTTACTCCTGTTGATGAGCGTATAATGGTATTGAGATTGAAGCTTTCTTTTGGCTTCATGTCTCTTATTGCTGTGTACGCTCCTACCGATGTTTGTAAACTTGACGTGAAAGAGATGTTCTACGCCAAACTTACATCTGTGGCAGACAGATGTCCCGACGAGATATTCGCATTGTTCTGGGCGACTTCAATGCGGTATCTGGCTGTGATCGAGCTGGCTATGAGATGTCTGTCGGTCCCATGGTTCAGGAGCTGATGCCGGTAGCGAGAATAGCCTCCTTTTCCGGGACTTTGCTAGGTCCCAGAAATTGAGGATTTCTGGTTCCTGGTACCAGCGCCCAGACCCACATCGCTGGACATGGTACAGTGATGCGGGTAACGCAGCCAAGGAGATCGACCACATACTTGTTAGCACTCGTTGGAGGATCCTTCAGAATTGCAGGGTGTACAGGAGTGCTGAGTTCTGTGGTACTGACCATAGATTGGTTGTGGCTACCCTCCGGGTCCACTTCAAAACCCCCCAGCGGTCAAATGATCACCCTAGGGTGTTTCATTTGGACAGGCTGAGGGAGGGGGAGTGTGCCCGCGGGTTTTGCTGAGGCAATCTCTGATCGTTTCGCAGTGCTTGGCAGTCTGACAGACCCTGTTCTTCTGTGGGATACCTTTAAGCGTGAAACGCTTGATGCAGCTCAAGATACGATTGGTGTACGCCCGAGAGCAGTACAGAATTGC